CTGCTACCCCGACAGATGACAGCAGAAGAGATGACGCTCTCAACAACAGACCTGTAGAAGATCTGCAGCATCTTGCTGCAGACATCGAAGGATCTTACCTTCCTTAAGAAGTACAGTCTGCTCTGTCATTTCTTGCAGACTCAAAAGCAGATGGCAATTTCTTCAGAGGAATGAAATGAGCTGCTTTGGAAAAATGATCAACAACGGTGAGAATGACAGTGTCCATCGAAGGGAGGCAATCCAGTGACAAAATCCAGAGAGATGTTAGCCCAAGGTCTATCTGGTGATGGTAGAGTTTGTAGTAACCCAGCAGGTGGGACATTGGTGTTCTTGTTCTTGGCTCTGGTAGGACATGCTTTAACAAAATCTCTTATGTCACGGGAAGAGGAGGGCCACCAAAAATGCCTTTTAGTGAAACAGATCATACGATTGATTCCGGGATGACAAATGAAACGGTGAGTATAAATCCAGAGTAGAACCTTCTTAATCATGGTCTGAGGAACAAACGTCCTACTGGGTGGGCAGTTCTCAGGAGAAGGTTGCTGCTTTTGGGCTWCCTGGATCTCCTTCATGATGGGCCAAGTAACTGCTCGAACAAAGCAAGTGGATTGTAGGATCTTGGTGTCAGTCTTTCTGTGATCAGAGTTGGACAACTGTCGAGAGAGTGTCAGGTTTAACATTTTTGGTACCAGGACGAAATGTGATGATGAATTTGAAGCGTGTGAAGAATAAGGCCCATCTAGGGTGTCATTGGTTTAGTCGTTTGGCGTCTTGAAGGTAAGCCAGATTTCTGTGGTCTGTCCAGATTATGAATGGAATGTTGGCACCCTCCAGCCAATGTCGCCACTCTTCGAGGGCCATTTTGATGGCCAGCAGCTCACGGTTTCCGACATCGTAGTTTTGTTCTGAAAGAGAAAAACCTTTAGAAAAAGGCACAAGGGTGTACCTTGTTATCCATGAGGTCTCTTTGGGACAGTACAGCTCCTGCTCCRATATCAGAGGCATCACCCTCAATGATGAACTGTCTCTTGGGGTCAGGATGATGGAGAATKGGTGTAGAACAGAAACGATTATTCAGCTCACTGAATGCCTGATCAGCTTCTGGGGCCCAATTAAACTGGGTCTTGCAGGATGTGAGTCTGGTGATTGGTGTCTGCCTGTAGTGCAGCTCCTCCTTAAGTACTGTTCCTCTGGGTGAGTAGATTGGCTACACCTGTGGAGTAATTAGTGGCAGAGCAAAGGCACAAAGATAGAGGTGTCAAACTCCACATGTTCATCACCTTGCTCCTCCATATATTTCTTCACTTCTCCAAGCTTACATTCCTGCTTGTAATCTTAGATCCTCTACTTCTTTCCAACTGATTGTTCCTTCTGCTCGCCTGATCACAATGGGGTGAAGAGCCTTCAGCCGCTCGGCGCCCCACCTATGGATGTCTCTCCCTCTGGACCTTAGAAATTCAGTTTCTATTACCACCTTCAAATCCCAACT